ATATTTGAGTGCGTACATAAACATATGTACATAATACATAACTGAACATATAAAACCTATGCTACAATTAAATACGTTTTGAAAACTTTCTATAAAATCAGTATTGTAATATTTGAGTGTGTACATAAACATATGTACATAATACATAACTGAACATATAAAACCTATGCTACAATTAAATACGTTTTGAAAACTTTCTATAAAATCAGTATTGTAATATTTGAGTGCGTACATAAACATATGTACATAATACATAACTGAACATATAAAACCTATGCTACAATTAAATACGTTTTGAAAACTTTCTATAAAATCAGTATTGTAATATTTGAGTGCGTACATAAACATATGTACATAATACATAACTGAACATATAAAACCTATGCTACAATTAAATACGTTTTGAAAACTTTCTATAAAATCAGTATTGTAATATTTGAGTGTGTACATAAACATATGTACATAATACATAACTGAACATAAAAATGCATTAAATTTGAGTTGTTTGTGAGCAGAAGGCTAACCGATATGCTATCTGTGATCCGCCCATTGCGGGTATCGAAACCCGATTTTAAAGGTAATAATCCCGCAGTCTTACCGCTGAGCCACCGTATAGCGAATATGTTAAACCAATTCAGTTCAAAGACATCTAAAAATTTGTACATTTAAAACAATGGAATACAGCGAAGCCGCAAAATTTTCAATATAATACAAAATACATTTAACATTCGTGAGAGAACAACGAAAAACTGTTTATCTTATATATTGTATCGATGGAACTAACCAGTATAGATAAGTTTAGTTCTGTTATATCAATGCTATAAAACATAAGAGTTATAGCTTTTATTTTATAACGTTGGATGACCTGCCATTACAGTACATTAATTCACTGAAAACTTATACCGAACTAATAAAATTCATTGAATATACGTACATAGTCATTGCAACCATAACAATACGTAGTCTTCTACTAAATAAAGTAGGTTAGAAATACACAGTCCGTCAGTCATTGTCGAATAGCTGTTATAAGAACGGCTACAATCTACGATAAAAGTAGTCGAAATGTTTACTTATATTAAGATGTTACATAGTCTGAGATTAACTAATGTCAATAAGTTAAGTATCACAGTACATGACAGAGGAAGACTCAATGTTTACTAATATTAAGATGTTACATAGTCTGAGATTAACTAATGTCAATAAGTTAAGTATCACAGTACATGATAGAGGAAGACTCAATGTTTACTTACATTAAGTAGTCATATAGTCTGAGATTAACTAATGTCAATAAGTTAAGTATCACAGTACATGATAGAGGAAGACTCAATGTTTACTTACATTAAGATATCACAGTCTGAGATTAACTAATGTCAATAAGTTAAGTATCACAGTACATGATAGAGGAATACTCAATGTTTACTTATATTAAAATAAAAAAACAGAACTCCGTGAAACTATATATTTACGTTAAATCAGTTTTTATGCCGCAGGGATGCCATGTGTTACAAATGTGTAATTTGTTCGAGGAGAAACATATGTTTTGAGCGTTTCTTTTTTGTTAAATATTCAATGTTTCGAAGCTGTTTTGAAAATCCGCTACTGTTTGTAGCAACAGAGAGAAGGTACTTTTTATTTGGTCACTGAGACTAAACGAAGCGCACATAATGAAACTTACCCTTGTATTATTCTAAATGATGGCGTGGGTGGGCGCCAGACTCGGGGACCTTCGTTCTGGGCGGGGCGGATTGGCAACTCGGAGGACACTTCTGACTCTGGTGGCCTCTCCTCCTTGTCCGACACATCCGGGACTTCCTTTCTGAAATGACGTCGTTGAAAATTTCATTAAACATTATAGTTTGGAAGCCTAGGCGGGGTGTACGGTTCGGCTGGCTAGCGTAATCGCTGTTTAAAAAAGACGGCACTTTTTATTGATGGCTCAGATTCACAGCACGAGTATTCCCGGCGAACTGAAACTCCTGACCGCTGAAAGAAAACAGAACTTCACGTGGGCACGTGGTAGCTTTGTATCTGTTTAGTATTAGGTGTAGTTCTCAAGTGGCCAGTTTAACAGCAGTATGAGTTTGGTTGGCGGCTACAATCAGCCCTTCCCTGGATCTGAAGCCTTGTACTCTCCTTATTACACGGCTAGGTTCGAGCCTCACAACGCATCAGGGTCTTCTGATGCTCCCTATTTTACTCCCTGGACATTCGCTCCTACTAACCAAAGTTCTGAGATGTCGCCTCACAGTGTGGAGTACAGCCCGCCGCCTTACGTGCCTTCTCCCGCTCAGCAGACCTCCACGCCGGCGGACTCCTTCTCCGTGTCCGGTTCAGCTTCGGGGTGCGACTACATGTTCGGTCCGTGCGGAGTGACAAGTGTCGGGCCAGACGGAAAGTTGACGATCCCAGGCCGGGGTGGGATAAAGCGGAGATCTACGGCTAACAAGAAGGAAAGACGTCGCACTCTTTCAATTAACAACGCATTCGCAGATCTGCGAGATTGCATCCCGAACGTTCCCGCTGACACGAAACTGTCGAAGATCAAGACGTTGCGGCTCGCTACCAGCTACATAGCTTATCTTATGGACTTGCTGGCTCAGGACGATCCGGGACGTTCCCCCGACGGAGGCTTTAAAGCAGAACTCACGCGAAAGATTGAATCTAGGGAAGAAAAGAGAAAGACCGAAATAGTAAGTTTAAAACCGTTAAGTTCTGTATTTTAAGGTAAATACTATTTATATTCTGAGGAAAGCAGTTTAAGATGGGTGTTCTAAAGCTTAGGATGACCTTCAGAATGGATTCCTAACTAGACTCAGATTGAATAAATAAAGTTCAAATGTTTAGGAAAGTCTTCAAGCAATTATCAAGTAAATTGTTTTTTGTTTTTTTAAGTCAGATAACCAAGAACAGTTATTGAGGATATAGAAAAAATCTGATGAACACAGATTTCAAGAGCTAAGATCTCACACATAGTTAAGGATATAGAAAACATCTGATGAACACAGATTTCAAGAGCTAAGATCTCTCACATAATTAATGATATAGAAAACATCTGATGAACACAGGTTTCAACAGCTAAGCTCTGACACATAGTTAAGGATATAGAAAACATCTGATGAACACAGATTTCAAGAGCTAAGATCTCTCACATAGTTAGACTGACCGTAAGTCAAGACAGTTAGCGAATTAAAATAGCACCGTACATTGATTATAACAGAAGTGGGTGGAAACAATAACACCATAAAACGATAGTAATACGTGTAACACAGAATTGTGTGGAAACAATAACACCGCACAATAATAGCAATGCATGATACACAGAAGTGGGTGGAAACAATAACACTGCACAATAATAGCAATGCATAGTACACGGAAGTGGGTGAAATTATATATTTAGTTAGATAAATGTCAACTTAACAACGTGGACAATCTTCTAAACATATCAGTTTATCATATCATCCGTTCTTTAAACCAAACTTTCACTTATCGTGTTGAATGTTTAAAAATCTAACACCGTTGACTTCATTTGTAATAGTGTCTGTGCTCCAAACCTGATAATGTTGCCCCTCATTACCAACATTTCAACATATAATAGCTTCTGTACTCCAAACCTGACACTGTTGCCCATTATTACAAACATTGCAACATATAATAGCTTCTGCACTCCAAACCTGACATTGTTGCCCATTATTACAAACATTGCAACATATAATAGCTTCTGTGCTCCAAACCTGACATTGTTGCCTCTCATTACAAACATTTCAACATATAACAGTGTCTGTGCTCTAAACTAACAACAGTGACCATTATACCAAACGCTTCGGTATGTAATATCGTCTGTACTCCAAACCTAACACCATTGAACATCATTCCAAACCTAACACCATTGAACATCATTCCAAACACTAACACCATTGAACATCATTCCAAACACTTTTCTTCGTAATAATGCCAGTATTCCAAACTTAACAACGATTATCATAATTACAAACAGTTCCGTGTGTAATAGTGTCAGTATTCCAAACCTAACAACGATTATCATAATACCAAACAGTTCCATGTGTAATAGTGTCAGTATTCCAAACTTAACAACGTTTATCATTATTCCAATCAGTTTTGTGTCTAATAGTGTCAGTATTCCAAACCCAACAACGTTTATTATAATTACAAACAGTTCCGTGTGTAATAGTGTCAGTATTCTAAGCCTAACAACGTTTATCATCATTCCAAACAGTTCCCTGTGTAATAGTGTCAGTATTCTAAGCCTAACAACGTTTATCATCATTCCAAACAGTTCCCTGTGTAATAGTGTCAATATTCCAAGCCTAACAATGTTTATCATCATTTCAAACACTTTAGTATATAATAATGTCAGTACTCAAAAACCTGACAGCGTTGACCATATTTCGACACTTAAGTTTTCAATAGTGTGCGTACTCCAAACCTAATAATGTTGACCATCATTCTAAATATATCAACATCTAATAATGTCCACAGCCCAAATCTAATAAAGTTGGTCATTATTACAAACATTTCAACTTATAACAGTGTCCATAGTCCAAATCTAACAGCACTGGCCATCATTCCAAACACTTCAATTTGAATAACGTACGTATTCAAAACGTCTTTTGTGTGTAGTGGCCTCAGTAATTCAAACTTAACATTGGTCATCATTCCAAACACTTCATTTTGAATAGTATCCATAGCCCTAACGTAACAATGTTGACCATCATACCAAACATTTCAACTTCTAATACTGTCCATAGTCCAAACCTAACAACGTTGACCATTATTCCAAACAATTCAGTGTGTAATAGTGTCCGTACTCCAAACTTAACAACGTTTAATATCGTGCTAAACAATTCGGTCTATAATTGTCCCTGTTCTTACGATCTAACATTGATCATCATTTTAACCACTTGAATTTGCAATAGTGTTCGTACTCCAAACGTAACAATGTTGACCTTCATTCCAAAAACTTGAATTTGTAATAGTGACCATAGTCCAAACCTGATAACATTGACCATCATTCCAAACATTTCAACTTCTAATGTTGTCCACAGTCCAATCCTAACAGCGTTGACCATTTCAACTACTTTAATTCATAAGAGTGTCAGTACTTCAAATCTAACAACTTTGACAATCATTTTAAACTCATTAATTTATAATGCTTCCCGTCCTTCAGTCTTTAGCCTTTATTTAAGTAATGTAAGATTTAACGCACTGCTTTTAGGATAATAGAACTTTTAGTGTCTGTTTACTTTCACATTGCTTGTTTGACATACTCGTTGTTTGGGATTAAACACAAGGTTACCCAATGTTGTGGCTGTCTGTGTTATGCCCACAGCGAGTATCAAAACACGATTGAACAAGTTTATTATATTTTGATTTGCTTATATTTGCCAAGATGACGTTTACTAGTCAAATTTAAAGGGCATTTGAATGCTGTAAGACTATATGAATGTAGGTAAAAATCAAGTTGGGGATTTTTGTGGATTAAATGAGAATAGGTCTAGCGACATAATTGATAGAAACCGACTCCTTTAGGCGTAACCAATATTGCGAATAGACAAAATATTATATAAGTCATAATTCTCTTGTTCAATTGTCAACAAAACAATATTCTGCTAAGAAAATCACGGCATATAATGAAAGAACGGATGGAGTTACTAATGACCATTGTTCACCGGTATATAAACATACAATAGATGAAGATCCTAAACAAACAAGAGATGAAAATCCTGATGATCACTGTCCACGGTATATAAACATACAAGAGATGAAGATCCTGATGATCACTGTCCACGGTATATAAACATACAAGAGAAGAAGATACTGATGATCACTGTACACGGTATATAAACACACAAGAGAAGAAGATCCTGATGGTCACTATACACGGTATATAAACATACAAGAGAAGAAGATCCTGATGATCACTGTCCACAGTATATAAACATACAAGAGATGAAGATCCTGATGATCACTGTCCACGGTATATAAACATACAAGAGATGAAGATCCTGATGATCACTGTCCACGGTATATAAACATACAAGAGATGAAGATCTTGATAATCACTGTCCACCGGTATACAAACATTTAAGAGACGAAGATCCTGAGGATCACTGTCCATCCCAGCGTGTAATCAAAGAGAAGGTGGAAAAAATCCTAATGATCACTATATATTCATATGCGTAAACGACGAGAAGATGGAGATCCTAGAGACCACTGTCCATCCATATGTATAACCACACAGGTGATGGAGGTACTGGTGATCATTCGCCTACCGTGGTATAAAGCAGTGTTTGTTCTTATGATAAATGAATAATAACAATAATAAACAAAGGAAAGCAGGCCTATCTGAAGCTGATGCATAGGGATCATCATCGAAAATAATCTATGTTGTGAGAAGAAAAACCAAATAAATTGTGAAGAATTGTATTCAGTGACACAGAATCATGATATATAACTATCAACTAATGTAATTTATCAAACTCATTGCTTCATTATGATATTATGAATACTACTGCAGAACACTTAGCTTTACTAGTTTAGACCTTACTGATATAGTACTTACTGGCTAGCATCAGTATTGTGCTTACTAGCCAGGACCAATAGACAAATACTACATTTACTGTATGGGACTGAAACTGAACTTACTGGCCTGGATAAGTACCAATACTGAACTTACTGACCAGGACTGGTACACAACTTATTTGCCAGCACCAATACTTAACCTGCCGTCAGATCCAATACTTAACTGACTGACAGGTCCAATATTGAACTTACTGGTCTAGACCAATACTTAACCAACCGTCAGATCCAATACTTAACTTACTGACAGGTCCAATATCAAATTACTGTCAGATCCAATACTTAACTTACTGGTAGGTCCAATATTGAAGTTACTGGTCTAGACCAATACTCAATTTACTGACCTTGTCCAATATTCAACTTACTGGTCTAGACCTGTACTTATCTTACAGATCTGGTCCAACACTGAACTTACTGGCCTAGACTTAAACGTAACTTATCGACAGGTCCAATATTGAACTTACTGGTCTAGACCAATGCTTAACCTACTGTAAGATCCAATACTTAACTGACTGACAGGTCCAATATTGAAGTTACTGGTCTAGACCAAAATTTAACCTACTGTCAGATCCAATACTTAACTTACTAACAGGTCCAATATTGAAATTACTGGTCTAGACCAATACTCAATTTACTGACCTTGTCCAATATTCAACTTACTGTCTAGACCAGTACTTATCTTACAGACCTGGTCCAACACTGAACTTACTGACCAGGAGTGACATTGAATTTACTGACCAGGAGTGAGTGACATTGAACTTTTTTAGTTTAAACAATAGTAGCATATTCAGACACCATAACTCCAGGCAGCACAACAAACTAAAACCATTCAATTTAAACAATAGTGGCATAATCAGACACTGTATCACTTGCAGTCGTGAAAGTATATTTTTATATTAACTGTCTCACTAATTTTCTTCCTCTCTGTCTTCATCATTTGTCACCTATAAAAGCAAATATATCTCATTAACGTCTATGCAGTTATTTTTACCATTAGGATTTCTATTTTGGTTTAATTCTGAATGCGAGTACTACCATTAGCAAAACCTCTTTGTTCAGTTGAAAAAAACTTTACTTGAAGAAGTCCAATCTAGGATCCTAATGCAAGTATACCAGTTTCAACAAGGGTGTGGTTCCCATTCTAACCATACTTGAGATATCCAAGATCAATGAGGTATACCAGTTTGATATAGAGTGTACCAATGTTTATGAAGTATGTCGTAGTCCTACTTTTCATAACCATTTAATGTCTCTCATCTGTTCCTATCATAGCTACTTATGGGCTGTGTGATGTAGCCATAACCTTATCTGCTAAGTTGGTTGCTACAGTCTTTCTGATCTAGCCATAACCTTATCTGCTATGTTGATTGCTACAATCTGTGTGATGTAGCCATAACCTTATCTGCTATGTTGGTTGCTACAATCTGTGTGATCTAGCCATAACCTTCTCTGCTATGTTGGTTGCTACAATCTTTGTGTTATAGCCACATCATTCTCTGCTATGTTGGTTGCTACATTATGTGTGATGTAGCCATATCATGCTTAGCAACAGATGTTGTCTGTGTTGTCTACTGCCCAACAGTTTGCACATTTTGCTGGACATTCATAAGTCTCCTTCGATATCTTAGGATTCTTTTTTTTTCTATAGGCATTGATAAGTATGCTTTCCTTTGAGAAATGTCAGATGAAAATTTCACAGATCTTGATGGAGCAGACAATTGTTCGTTAGTTTATTCCCCAGCTCCAGATTTAGAGCAACCTTAAGAGGCTGTTTACTTCTTGTAACGGATGTCATAGTATCCAAGGTTGCTGGAGCAGGTGTCATGGTAATCATTGTTTATGGAGCTGGTGTCGTGGTATCTATGGATGTTGGAGCAAGTGTCGTCTTATTCATAACTGTTGAAGCAGGTGCTGTGGTATCCAAAGCTGCTGAAGCAGGTGTCGAAGTATCCATGGCTGCAGGAGCATTTCTGGCAATTCTTGACATGCTTTAGTTGTATGTTTAAAGTTTCTGATATAATGATTTATCTTCGAATCAAGTGCTTTATCCCCCGAATAAACACTGTGATAAGGCCTCAATTATAACTCTTAATTCTGTGTTTATACGAAGTATTGCTAGCTATATAAGTATTCAAGAAAACCAAGTTTCTGTATAGAAAACGTAAAGCAATCTGTAGGCTTATTATTGTTTATTAGGAAAAGCTACTCAAGGATTACGTGTGCTAGCCGCCCCTAACTTAGGACAAAAGAAAAGCCACCTAGTCAAGACCCAATATTCTAGGTAGATTTGTAAAAATTATACAAAACTGTTTGTGCTAGTTAAAATCAAAGTGAGATAAAATGCATATAAATATTGTTGCAAGTATTATAAAACAAAAATTTTTTTATGTTTTCTATTATTCTTTTTAGTGTCGTTTATATTTTAAACCATTTAAATTCAGGAAGAAAAAAAATCAAGGTTTTTAGGCAATACATGATGAAACGTCGGATTTAGGTTAAGACTAATTGAATCTACAAAAATTACTCTTTTACAAACAAACGCACAGTTTCGTGAAAAAAATACATCATAGTTTCGAATTTTACTCGTTTTAATACGTGAGAAACATTCACTTACGGTTGTTTGTAGTTAAGCACAAAGCTACAATATGGACTATCTGTACTCTGCCCATCACGGGTATCGAAACTCGGTTTCTAGCGTTGTAAGTCCGCAGACATATCGCTGTGCCACTGGGGGTCAAGCCTTATGAATTCAGACACAAAGGTAATTTATTTGAGTTAGCTTCTATTCTAAAAAGTTTTAGTTCAGATTTCTTATTGACATACCTGGCACGATCTGGGGGCTAGAATACTCGACATGCACTCTATGGGTCGCTGGTTCGAGTCCCGCAACTGTATACGCTCGCCCTTTGATCTGTGGGCGTTAAAATACGACAGTCAATCCCACTATTCTTTCGTAAAAAGCAGCCCAAGGGTTAGCAGTGGGTGGTGTTGACTAACTACCTTTCCTCTAGTGGAGTTAAAAAAGTATACTTGTATTTAAAACAAGATCTAAAATTTACAAATCAGCAAAACTTTTTTTTCTGAAAATATTTTCTGCTTTCATATGGAATATATAATTACGTAAAGACAGCTTCCATCTTCAAACCATTATTACGTAAACACAGCTTTCATTTTGAAATTAGTATTACGTAAACATAGCTTTCGTCTTGAAATTAGTGTAACAAACACAACTTTCATCTTGAAATTACTGTTACGAAAACACAACTTTTATTTTTAACTTATTGTTACCTAATCATGGCTTTCGTCTTGAAATTAGTGTAACAAACACAACTTTCGTCTTGAAATTACTGTTACGAAAACACAACTTTTATTTTTAACTTATTGTTACCTAATCATGGCTTTCATCTTGAAATTAGTGTAACAAACACAACTTTCATCTTGAAATTAGTGTAACAAACACAACTTTCATCTTGAAATTACTGTTACGAAAACACAACTTTTATTTTTAATTTATTGTTACCTAATCATGGCTTTCATCTTGAAATATGTGTAATATAAACACAACTTTTATCCTGAAATTATTATTATTATTATTATTACGTAAACACAGTTTTTAATCTTGACATTATTGTGACGTAAACATAATTTTCAACTTGATTTATTGTCACATAAACACAGCTTTCATCTTGACATTATTGTTACGTAGACACATTTTTCAACTTAAAATTAATATTAAGTAAACACCAAGCTATTCTGGTTTTCACACAATATTTCTTACTGTTAATGATAAGGTAAGATTCCTTGTGCTTCCATTTATGTTGTATTGAGTACATCAAAATTGAAATAACACATCAAAACATCTCAATATAACTTTATTAAATTGCATTGTTTTTTCTACTTTATGAACACTTTTTTTCTATATATTATGTTTTCAACTTCAAACAACCTTATGATTTTGAAATGAACACATCATATTATATTTTCATGATTATATATATAAAAAAAAACTTATTTTGTTTGTTTCTTTCATATCGCACAAAACTACTCGAAGGCTATGTGCGCCAGCTGTCCCTAACTTTGAAATGATAGACAAGAGGACAGACAGATAGTCAATACCACCCACCGCCAACTATTGGGATTCTCTATTACTAACACATAACATAATAACAGCCACAAGGGTGAAAAGGCGAGCATGTTTGGTGATGAGATTCGAACCCGGGACCCACAGATTACTAGTCGAGTCCCCCAAATTGTGTTGTAAAAATATTTCCAATTAAAACTTTGTATACTAGCTCAAAGTGTAACTAAACTTTTCTAACGTAATTTTACAACTTACCCCCCCCCTCAGAAACGTGTCTACGTACATGTTGTGAATTAGTAGCAGTTACTGCTGAGTTAACCCTCTAACTCATTTGATAGAGTTTATCGTGCGATTGGTCCCGGTTTCGAATCTGGCAGTGATAGGTAGCCATGGTTTTTAGGTGGAAGGTTTCGTGTTCGCTTTCCGCCGGAGACAAATGTCGTTGTTACTAATGGACATTTGTAATTCACAATTAGGAGTGAAGAACGTGAAAAACACGTGAAATGTTTACTGTCTTTTAGCGAATCCAAGGAGTTTGGAGTCTCGCCCTAAATATCAGAAGGAAAATAGTTAAGACCAAAGAAGTGATGATTTATAACTTTAAATATTTTCAAAAATGAGACAACTGTAATATCGTAATAAATATGATAAGATACCAGCAATCGGTATTTTACCGTATGTTTACGGTATATTTTTTACAGTATTCTGATGTGTCAAGTGTGAAAGCAAGTGTCACTGAAACTAATGTGTGGAGTAAACTCTATTATTCGTCAATGTACACATAAAGGGTCACAATAAGTTGGTTCGTCTGTTACATATATATAGCGGTAAAATAAGTTGGTTCGTCTGTTACATTCTACCGCTATATAGAGTCTCAATAAGTTCGTTCGTCTGTTGCATTCTACCGCTATATAGAGTCTCAATAAGTTGGTTCGTCTGTTACATTCTACCGCTATATAGAGTCTCAATAAGTTGGTTCGTGTGTTACATTCTACCGCTATATAGAGTCTCAATAAGTTGGTTCACCTTTTAAAATTTTATTGTTATAAAGGGTCCAAATAATTTGATCCATTTGCTAAGATTCTACCACTGTAAAGGGTCCCAGTTAGTTGATCAATCTGTTAAAATTCTACTATTATAAAGGGTCCCAACTAGTTGATTTATCTGTTAAAATTCTACTATTATAAAGGGTCCCAATTAGTTGATTTATCTGTTAAAATTCTACTATTATAAATGGCCCAATAAATTGGTTCATCTGTTAAAATTCTACTATTATAAAGGGTCCCAATAATTTGACTTACCTCTTAAAATTCTATCACTGTAAAGGATCCCAGTTAGTTGATCCATCTGTTAAAATTCTACTATTATAAAGGGTCCCAATAATTTGGCTTACCTCTTAAAATTCTACCACTGTAAAGGACCCCAATGAGTTCGTTCATCTGTTAAGATTCTACTTATGTTTAAGAATTAAGGTTTTATTTTCTTATTTTCTTTATTTTCTTAATTTTGTGAACACGTTTAATGATTACTATTAAACGTTTTTGAACATATTTTAGAGAAAAATAGCGTTCTCCGTCGAAAACATATCTGGTTATCCTAGGGCTTTATTTGTTATTTGTCAACAAGCTATTCCTTGATTCACAGGTGGATTCCATGTCTCTGATGATGTTTTCAGCTGACACTTCACGTTACTTAATTCATATCAACAAGGTAAAATCTGCCAACAAACTGTTACTTTACAAACAGTTATTACTGTAAGCCTAATGGTGCTTGTCAACTGACACATTACCTTACTTAATTCATATTAACAAGGTAAAACCTGCCAACAAACAGTTATTAGTATAAGCCTAATGATGCTTGTCAACTGACACATCACGTTACTTAATTCACATTAACAAGGTAAAATCTGCCAACAAACTGTTACTTTACAAACAGTTATTACTATAAGCCTAATGGTGCTTGTCAACTGACACATCACGTTACTTAATTCATATTAACAAGGTAAAATCTGCCAACAAACTGTTACTTTACAAACAGTCACTACTATGAATCTAAGGATACTTGTCACCTAACGTAATGTGTAATTCAACAAATAGGTTTGTAGGTTTTATCCTGTTTCTAGATGGAACGATTGTATGACAATAAATGTTTAATCGGGATACGTGAGAACACGTGAAACTTTAAAGGAAAATCATTGGTAGTAAATAAAGGCTTAACTTTTCTTTATATGTCTGTATAGAATGAATATTCTATGAAGTTGGTTGAGGTTAATTGAACGATTTTCTTTGCTATGGCAGGGTGTCATAGGATGTAACTAACCAAGTTTTTTATTCCAGTTGTTCGTGTTTGATTTTCATTTAACTGTCACACTTTGGGACACCATTATCCTGGTCACAATGTTTTCATGTTATTTAGTGACCAAAAAAAAAAAAAAAGATAAAAAAGGTTATAGCTAAATGAGAGAAATATTAGAAGTCCAAATCATTAGGTGCCGACGAAAAGGCTTTCTTTTATGATCTCCCCTGGCAACTGCGTGAAATGCAGCTCAAATGAACGGAACAGAAATCGGAGTGAGAGTGCTTGCCTCGTCACACGTGGGTCATTCCCGATCCTTGCGAAATCAAGCCTAGTTCATCACCCCATATTAAACACGAGACGTCTTTATAAATACATAAATTAGAATATCCACGAGCCGAAGTTTTGCGTTGAGTCTAACCGAGACAAAATCTCCAAAGTCCGCACCATTGATCACCGGAGTCCCTCCCTGCTCGTGTGGGCGGCCAAGAAAGTAACTGAGCTAATTCGTATAGTATTTCAACCTTCACGCTCACTCATTCCTAGGCCTTTCTCTTGTTTAATTATCTCTCGGTGCATAAAGAAGTCGTTGTTTGGACTGAAAACTAAAACAAAATG